AAAATTTCGATATGATTTATAAGGAATTTTACGAAATTTATTTTTAAAGATAAGTACAAAATAAAATAAATAGTGTTGTTTAAAAGTTACTTTGGCAATGTAATGCAACTAGTTAAGTTAGTAGTTAAATTTTAAATAATATAACAAGTTACACAGTTAATAGTTTTCTTTTTTTAAATATAACTAGCCACTAGTTACAATTATTTTTAGTGGATAGTAGATTCAGGACTAGCCGGATCGATTAAATTACGTTAAATCGAATATATTTATATTTATATAAATTCATTGGCTGATTTAAATCATATAATAAAAGAATGTTAAAAAAATTTACAAATCTAAATTTATTATTTAATTATATTTATGGAAATATATATATAAATTAAGGAACCAGTTACTTTTGCGCGGTTATCTGTTTCATATGTCTTAATGCATATGGCGCACGGTTCAAAAAACTCCGCTAATTTGCAATGCATACAAAACTGGAACAAATTTTGCATGTACATAAAAATGTTAATGTCACTGGCATATGTACCAATTGAGAATGTAATTGATGGATTCGAGGAATTATGTGCCTCTAAATTTTATCAAGAAAATAGGGATATTCTCTCCCCCTTGCTAGAATACTTTGAAGAGACGTGGATTGGAAAAATGATAGCGATGGAGAGGAAGTCGCCAATAATTAGCATTTCTCTATGGAATTGCTACAATTGACACTAACTCGTGAACCGAATACAAATAATTCAGTAGAGGACTTGCATCGAAGTTTTTCGTCTCATATGTTCCCATCATCCAACGATCTGGAAAATTATAAAGAGTTAGTAATTATATTATATTATAAATTTTAGCATTTTAATTTTTACCACTCAAAGACGAAGATGGCCTGAATAATTACAAATCGGAACAATATTCTTTAGGACTATTGGCTCCGTTGTCAAAGAAAGAATATCGCGAAAGATCTAAAAGAATTTTTCTAATTGTTTAAGATTTTTATTCAAGAACCATGCTGGATTAGGGCTTTATCCCATAAATTAAATTTAAATATTTAATTTATTCATATAATTGTATTTTTTATATTGGTATATTATTTATATTATGTTTATTTGGATTTTTTGTAAAAATTTATTTGCTATTTCGAAATGAATATTGCTAAGCTCAGTATATTATCAAGGTTTATCTTATAAAAACTTCATATACAAACAGTATTAAAATTCTTTAAGTCATATTGCTAAAGTAACTTTTAACAACACTATATATTTTATTTTGTATTCTTATCTTTAAAAATAAATTTCTTAAAATTCCTTACAAATCTTGTCAAAATATGTTTATCTCTTAGTGACAAATAACTTTTAACTTAAGAATGGATTATCGGTGTGTCCCATCTATAATTGAAAATTTTTAGGAAGAATAATAATATAAGTAAGAACTAAAATAAATTTTGCTGAAGATAAAAAAAAGCTTATAAATGAAAATCTCTTCATTAGTTTTGTCAAATTAAGTGGTTACCATTAACTAGCTACACTTTAGCTAAAAAATATTTATAACTAGTTACATTTACAAAATCGTAACTGTAGCTGGCTACATTTTTTAGAAAAGTTACAGCCAAAAGTAACTAATTACTTATTTAAATAAATATAATTAAATAAATTTAAATTTTTTTTATTCTTTTACTATTTGATTTTCCTTACAAATCATGTCAAAATTTTGTTCTGCCATTAATTCATCTAATAATCGAAAAACCTTGTGCAAAGATAAACAAATAATTTTCTGTACCGATTAATAATTAAAAAACTACCCAATTATTCTCTTATATAAGGTAATTCTAATATATAATATTATGTCAAATACTGTAATTTTTTTTACCTATGACTATAAATAACATTTTTTTATAAAATAATCATATTCTTAAATAAAATAATTCTCTATAAAATAATATTCATTATAAAATAATTCTATAAAATACAACATTCATTTTTTTTTTTTGCCTAGTTCTATATGTATAATCATGTTTTTATGATATAATATTTATAATAATTTACTATTTTACATATAGGAAAGTATAAAGAAAATTTTTTCTGCATTTATTTTTATATTATATTTTTTTTCCTTTTAAATTTTTCTTCTTCTTTATATCTTTATCCACCTTATATGTAATTATTATAATTATATAATTTACTTTATTAATTATCGTTCCATACATGTTATATACTATTTTGTAAAATTATAGAAAATATAATATGATTGATTATGATTGAAAAAAAAAAAATACATTCATTATAAAATAATTCTCTATAAAATCATTCTCTGTAAAATTATTCTCTATTAAACGACATTCTCTATAATTGTCTTCTCTATAAGTGCATTTTCTATAAACGTCATTCTCTATATAAAACTTTCTCTATAAACGACATTCTCTATAATTGTTTTTCTCTATAAGTGCATTCTCTATTTTTGTTTTCTCTGTAAAATGGTATTCTCTGTAATGACGTGGAACCCTTTAAAAGCATTTCGGGAATATATTTATTTTTACCAATCAAAGCAAATTCACATGATTTTATGGTATAAGAAATATATAATTTTTAGCGTTGTTAAACGGTTCGTCTTGAGCCTATTTTTAAAAAACGGCTAACTCAATATTTTCGCCAGAAAAATATTGCCTAAGCCTTTGTTGATGCAGGTCTAGACCTATGTTCCTTCTATGAGCAAAATCTTCAGGTTTGGGTAATATTTTTTTGGATGAAGTATTGAGTTAGCCATTTTTAAAAATCGGCTCAAAACGAGCAGTTTAACAACAGTAATAATTTTAGGTGATAAAAGGGTGGACTTTAAATGGGTTACGATATATAAATGTATTTATTATAATTTACGTTTATTTGTAAGTAGAGATTTTCTTATTAAAATTAAAGTATTATATGTAACCGTGATCTGTATCGGGCCTAATTTTTCAAGCTCAGTCCGGCTCGAAGTTATTAAAATATAGAAATTGATTTTTTTAATAATTACTCAAAATATGTTTATTATGGCGTCTAGTTTCTACAAATAAAAATCAAATATTTTTATTTTACATAAAAAAAAAATTCAACATAAAATTGATAAATTTAGATATATTTTAAAAAAATTCTAAGGTCCGACCCGACCCAGCATGAATTGCCTAAAATATTAGGCCCAACCCAGCCCGAGTATATTATTTATAAAAAATCTCAGGTTTTTCTTTTTATTAAAATGGGGCCCGGCCTTCATAAATTATTTAAAATCTTAACTATTTTTTTTTTTACTTATGCTTCCAAAAAATATATTGTTTTTTTTCTACAAATAAGACACTTCTTTAAGAAAAAATATATTTTTGAAAAAAAGATACATTATTTGTTTTCCTAAAAAATATGATAAGGAAATTTTACTTTTGAAAAAAAAATGTAGGAAAAAAAATGTTTATGAAAATTGATATACAGTTAGTTAGCAAAGTATTTTTGAGAAAGGATACAATTATATTTCGAAAGGACTTGTTAGGAGTTTAAAAGAGAGCGTTTTGCAATTTTTCGAAAAAACGACATGTATAAGGATGTGGAATGGTAATATGTTAGTTGACTAGTTAGAGATCTCCGGATAGGGCAGGCATATCATCCAACCCATATATTCCCCTTTCCTTTAGATGATTGTTTTGTTTTGTGAACGGATATCAAAAGAAGGAATTGATGAAGTTACAAGCGAAAATCTATTTCAAAGATGTATTGATGTTCCATTAATTACGTTCGTTTTATTTTTGATATAATAAATTTTGCGTTAAATACGATTATTTCTAAAGCATCATAGATGTTCTTTATTATTTTTCAGGATCTTAGAAAATTAGTGACCCATCCCCCTATTTTGTTTGGAGTCGAAAATTTAATTAACACTAGGTTATACGTATCAGGTATCTAATTTTATTGGGAATAATTTGTTTTTATTCAGTAAAACTTGTCTAATTTAGAATCTTGTTAACTCGGGCAAACTCCCTAATTAGATTAAAAAATTTTAACTTCCAATCGAAATATTAGCTACTATTACACTCGATAAATTAAGACACTCTCATGTTGAGCAAAAATCTTGGTCCCAGCGGTGCTTAAATTAGGCAGATTTTTTAAAATTTAATAAAAAAGGTAATAATGACATTTCGACGAAAATTTTGGAATGTGTTTTTTTTTAAAATTGGCATTTTAATGAATCGTGATTAGAAAAATTATTTCTTTTTTAGCGTATCGGACAAAAATTATCAAATAAATTTTTTAAAAAAATAATGAAACTGAAAAATAAGAAAAATGGTACTTGGTCTGACAATATATTGAAAATTAAAATTTTTAACACCTTTTCCAGTGTTGTTAAACGGCTCGTTTTGAGCCGATTTTTGCAAACGGCTATCTCAATATTTCATCCAGAAATATATAACGCAAGTCTGAAGATATTGTTTATATTATCGAAATTTTGTGACTTAGGCAATTATTTTTTTCTGGCTAAAATATTAAGTTAGCCGTTTTTAAAAATCGCCTCAAAACGAGCCGTTTAACAAATACCTAACCTTTTTCTAATTTCAAATTTGTGCCTTAACCACGATTTATTTTTATGGAGGATTTTGCATATTTGCCGTATTAAATTCAATAATATTTCTTTTCCGTCGGTTCCCTTGTATATTACATTACATTATATCAAATCAAATCTAATCTAAATAAAATATATATGTATATAAATCTTCTTAAAATCTTTTGTCACAAAACTTACAAAGATGTGGCAAATCAAATTCTTTCGGGGATTCCTTTGTCACCGAATTCGGTTAGATGAATGTCATTAGATTTGTTATAATAAAAAAAGTTTTCAATTTATATTAAATTATTCAAAATCGATTGTGTTTTTTTATCAAATCTTTTAAACCCAAGTTTCAGATAAGTTGGAAAAAAATAAATTAAAATTATATATACAAATATCTTATATAAAATCGTAAATTGCATATATAAATATAAATATTATTCCGGCATATAAATTAATAGGAAAAGAAAAATATAATATATAATAATTAATCGAGTTTCATGTCGCGAGTGATTTGCATTCCAATTCGTGAAGATTCAGGGTCAAAACCCTAAGCAAGGATCTCAAAGTCGGGAAGCGCGTAGTCATGTTGGGAAATGAAGTTATGTATTTCGTGTTCCTTAAAAAAGAAAAGGATGTTAAAAAAATCAAATTATTATTTTCTTTTCTTGAAAGAATGAATGAAAGAAAGAAAGAAAGTAAGAAAGAAAGAAAGAAAGAAAGAAAGAAAGAAAGAAAGAAAAAAAAAGAAAGAAAGAAAATTAAACCTTCCCTCAATAAATTATGTCAAATGTGGAAGATGCGACCGAAGGACAAATAGGGCAAACTGAGAAGAAGAGTTTCGAATCATTTAATGCCCTATAAATCTGAGTTCCTTCGGGTTTCATGTAGATAGCAAATTCATATATAATGAGACGACATATCAAGGTCTTATGACGTAAATGGTGCCAGGTAAGAATGATGGAAGGGGGGGGGGCAAAATTTGTGATAAATTAAAAATTTCGGAAGACAATTTTTCGTTATTATATATTTAATGATTTAGTTTTTTAAAAAATATTTAATTTTAATTTTTAGTGTCCCGGACATATAAATTTCCTATATAAATGAGAAAAAGAGTGACAGAAAAACAAAAAAATCATCCTATAAGATTTCTTCTAAATTTTTTGGGGAAAAAACCGCTATATAAATAATTTATATTAACCCATTTTTATAATATTATATTGATCCCCTGATTGGTTACCCGGTCTAAATCCATGACACGTGACACCTGTCACATGAAAACTGATAAAAATAAAATAATCAGCAACAATTTGATACAAAAGAAAACGATAAAAATTTTGGGGTTTATCCTTATTTTATTTTTTTTATTCTTATAGGGATATTTTGTCAGGGATAATGACATGTAATAATACCTAGACTGACAATGCATTCATAATAATGCATTTGAAGGCGTTGTTGAATGCAAATCAGCTGGAGGCGCCATTTTGGTAACCCATATAGTAATTATTCTCAAGTTAAAAACTACCTTGCTTCCTTATTATCTCGATGATCAGCAGCAAATTCATTAAAAAAGTTTGCATCAAACATAGGAATAAATTGGCCTCTCGTTTAAAATAAGAAGAAGATATGGGTAACCAAAATGGTGTCCTCAGCTGTTTTTCATTTGATGTACACTTTTAATGAATGCAACGACATTCTACGCATTATTATATGTCATTGGTCAGGGGGTTAATATTTACCCGTAAATGTCTCCCAGCGATATTACCGAAATAATAAATTTAGGACGTTGAGCCCATCTGCTTCGGACATCTTAAAAAGGATCAAGGAATGACGGTCTATTTACACTATAAATATTGTGTTTCCTCCGTCAAATAAATAGGGATTGTTTTTCCTGTATCGCATCAAACCTGAGTGCGATCCACAGCCCTGCACGGGACCGGATTCAAGTCCGAAAAAGGACATTCTCTCTATTTTTTAAAAATAAATCCTTTGAGCTGATATAATTGGGGAAACACGAATGAAATCCCAAAATAGGATGCAAATATAATTAATTATAACTCGGGGGTTATTTTAAAAATACAAAAAAAACATCGCGTAGATAGCAAAATAAAAATATAGGACATAATCAGAGTTATTAAAGTAACGCGCTAACTTTTTTGGTAGCTATAGCTAATAGCGGCTAATTTTTTTATAATTATTTAATATTTTAGGGCGACTTCGCTACTCTTAAAAAATATAATGAATGAAGGTAAGTATAAACATGAAAATTTAAAATATAATATCATAATTAATTATAATTTTTTATGATTTATTAATTAATTTTGAAATTAAAATATAATTTCGATTTGTAATTCATCATTTTCATTTGTATTATAAACCTAAATCACGGGTTAATAATTTAAAATGTCATCGCCTATGGATATCCAAATCGTTGAAAGTGATTTAGAAAATGAAATTAATGAAATGGAAGTTACCAGGGGAAGAAAATGTTCTTAATAGCTATATTATAAATTTCCCATTCCATAGATTTGAAAATTTTTAAAATAAATATATAATCAAAACTGGTTTCAAATTTATTTGTTTAAGATGTAAAAAAAATATTTCCCCAAATCAATCCAGTAGCTATAACCTCAAGAAACACCTAAAGGTAAATTGTCATTTTTATATTCTAATAATACTTATTTTATAAGACTGTTCACGAGTTTTAAGGAAATGGAGAAACATCTAAATAATTTTGGTATAGGCGACTCTACATCCAAAAAGACTAATTCAATTCAAGCCAAATTAATTAATAATGCAAATGACAATATTTCTCAGAAATTGGCTGATAAAGTTATTGTTGATTTTATAATTTATACATTTCAGCCAATGTCCTTAGTTAATAATCCATCATTTACCATGATGATTAAAACTCAATCCCCCTGGTACAAAAATTTTATGCCACCAGACACTAAATGAATAAAATAGCAGATAACTTTAAAATGATGAAAGATACTCTAATAGTTGAGTTATCAGAGATATCATATTATGTACCACGGGAGATAGTTGAACACATAACAGAAGATAAAAACTTGTTTATATTTATAAATTGATCTGATTAAATATTTCTGAACTTATTTGGGAATCACAGGCCATTGATTAGACCCTAGAACTCTAAAAAGAAGATCTGTGGCATTAGCCCTAAAAATGATATAAGGATGCCAGACATACGATGTACTTGCAAAAAAAATTATTGATAGTCTATCTTCTTTTTTTTTTAAAATTTTATTAACTCTTATATTAATATATGTATATAAATTAAATACGACCTTACCCTCAAGTGCTAGTGTAGAGAGATTATTTAATAAGGCAAAACTTATACTTTCTGATCGTCGATCTAGACTTGGGGATGATAATATTGAATTTTATTATTAAAATGCAACAAATTACCATAAACATTTATTTTCTTACATAAATTTTTTTATAATCAAAACTAACTATATTTTTATATTTATAAATGTTGATTTTTATATTATTTACTATACAATTTACATTATAAGCAAAAAATAAAACAAATTTGTTTGTAAATTTTTTTATAAAAAGTAGCTAATAGCGAGCTGCTTTTTTTGATAAATAGCGATAGCGGTAGCGATCTACTTTTTTTGATAAATAGCGATAGCGGTAGCGCGCTACTTTTAAAAGTAGCGTTTAACAACTCTGGACATAATACGCGTGAATTCTGATCTCACGGCAAAAAAACAATGTTATTCGAATGCAGTTTTTTCAGTTTTAACTTTCCGTACGATGAATTTCCCCTTTAAATAAAATAAGTCTTATCTTAATTTCAAATAAACACGTAATAATATTTAAATTAAAAATTCTTATAGTTTTATAGTCAATATAATGAATAAAAAATCATTCGTTCTTTTTATTCAACGATTAAATTGAGCCAGAAAAAGGTCATAATTACCAAGTATTTTTTAAAAAAAAATAATATATACACCAAAAAATAAATTTGTTTTGATAAATTATATCCACTTATTCGGGAATTAAAAAAATTAGCTAGAAACATGCCTAGGAAAAGTTGCCTAAAAAAATGTTCTATCTGGAAATTCTGTAAGAATTTGATAAAGGGTTAAAATATTTATAACGGGTAGTATTATACAATTTTTTCCTATTCCTCGGAATCAAAATTCTCGTTTCAATTTTAAATATGCCTTTCACCTTCCACCCCCCCCCTCCCCTTCCTTTTCTCCAAAAAGATAGTTATTTATTTTAATCAAACTTCTTTAATCTGACCCACTGCTTGGTGACTAGGACGAAGGCTTCGGGCGTACCCGACAAAAGTGCGTCAAATAGAACGGATTTGTTAGGGGGAATCCTATTATCCAACTCGTACCCGAGAGCCAGTAATATGGAGGCCGTAGTAGCGTACCCGATTTCGCTGCAGAATATATATATATATAAATACTAAGTATTAAGTAGTCTAAAATATATGTATATTTATCAGAGTTGTTAAAAGATACTTTTTAAATGGATCTAGATACAGATACATCGTCTAAAATAATATCTAGATACAGATATTTTAATCAAAAATCTATCTAGATACAGATATACCACATTTTAATATCTAGATACGGGATCTAGATACAAGTATCTAGATCCTTTAACAACTCTGATATTTATTAATATTTATAATACCATTTGCACAAAATAAAAATGTCATTTAGTATATTGACGAATTCGGGCCTAATTCAAAAACGAATTATAACTTAATTAAAACCAATCGAGAGAATGGTATATTTTTCTATTCCTTCAAAAACGAATCCAATACGAATAATATTGGTCGACTTTTTTTAATCCATTTTTTTTTAATAGGCCAAATGTCTATATGGTTTATCATCGTTGTGGGTTAGGAAAATATATATCTTAAATGTGCGAAACTCGGGAAAACTTCTAAGAAATGCCATTTATATGAAATTGATCCCTCATTATAGACTTTTATAAAATCATAAAGCTGTTCGTTTCTAAAGGCGCACAAATTTTATCACTCCAAGTTGCCTTCCGTAAAATAAATATGTGGTAGTAAGGATGTGGTGTCGTTAAAAAGCCCAATTTGGGAGTCCTAAAATAAATATTATGTAAGTATCGAGAATTTGGCGAATAGATGTCCAAGCATTTCTGTGCCAGCTATTCGCATAAAATCTTTAGGCTTACCATAAAGTTATTTTGTGGTTATAACCTTGATTCGGGCCGTTTTTTTAAATCTACTCCAATCGGGCTTTTTAACAACAACTAGCTAGGATGATGAGATCATGTTATTTTCTTCGTCCGATAACATCAATTCCATATCGCGGTGATCAAGATACAGACACGCGTTTGTATTTTTTTTTGTATTTCTTTACATACCCCCTTCGTTTTATCGAAAAAAAAATTAGAAAATTGGCAAATGATGGGGTCATCAGGTTTTATATTTATTTTAAATACGTAATAATATAATGTTAGAGTAGATTAAATAATATATTATATAATAGTTATATCTTCTTTTTTTTTAAAAAAAATAAATATATAAATTAACGTTATTAATATATATATATATATTATATGTTAGAGTCAATGCGTTTTTTTCCGGGCAATGTGTCATTTTTTATTAAACTTTAAAATCATTTTTTGAGCGTTTTTTTAAAAAACCAATATTTATCGGAAAATGTATGCCGTCATATTTGAAATTACCTATATACCATATATATTTTAGACAAATTTTGCCAAATCAACGTCGTCCAAATTTAATATAAATTTATACTAAACTTTCCCATATATTTTTTTTATACTCAATTATAAATGATTAAAAGGTGAACGGCAAAATTTTCTACAATTCCTACGATAGTTATTCTTAGTACATGCTGGAATACAATTCCAGGTAAAATCCAACTTAATAAATTTTTTTTAAAAAAAGAAAAGAAAAAGAGATTTTATTTAAAGTTGTAAAAATAACATCGTTGGCCGGAAGAAGAAAAAAGTACGTTGACGGTTAACATGTATAGAGTATATAAATAAGAACTTAGGCACCGCATTCATAGTGGATCCGATCCGACACTATTTAACAGCTGATCGATTTTTAAAATCGGTTTACGAGAATCAATTTCTCTTTATTAAAACCAGTATTTCTTAGGTTATCATCATGTATAAGAATTAGAGACAAAATCAATATTATTACCAAAAAAATTGATCTCGTAAAAACAGATTTTAAAAATCGATCAGCTGTTAAATCGTGTCAACTTTATACGAAATTTGAACGGCGTAGAGAGTATAGTGCTGTTTAAAAAAATCAGATTTGGGATTTTAACCAAAATAAATATATAATTTATAAGCCTAATTAGGGCTTAGGCCGCATTCATAGTGGATCCGATCCGACACTATTTAACAGCTGATCGATTTTTAAAATCGGTTTACGAGAATCAATTTCTCTTTATTAAAACCAGTATTTCTTAGGTTATCATCATGTATAAGAATTAGAGACAAAATTAATATTATTACCAAAAAAATTGATCTCGTAAAAACAGATTTTAAAAATCGATCAGCTGTTAAATCGTGTCAACTTTATACGAAATTTGAACGGCGTAGAGAGTATAGTGCTGTTTAAAAAAATCAGGTTTGGGATTTTAACCAAAATAAATATATAATTTATAAGCCTAATTAGGGTAAGGCCGCATTCATAGTGGATCCGATCCGACACGATTTAACAGCTGATCGATTTTTAAAATCGGTTTACGAGAATCAATTTTTCTTTATTAAAACCAGTATTTCTTAGGTTATCATCATGTATAAGAATTAGAAGACAAAATCAATATTATTACCAAAAAAATGGATCTCGTAAAAACAGATTTTAAAAATCGATCAGCTGTTAAATCGTGTCAACTTTATACGAAATTTGAACGGCATAGAGAGTATAGTGCTGTTTAAAAAAATCAGATTTGGGATTTAACCAAAATAAATATATAATTTATAAGCCTAATTAGGGTAAGGCCGCATTCATAGTGGATCCGATCCGACACTATTTAACAGCTGATCGATTTTTAAAATCGGTTTACGAGAATCAATTTTTCTTTATTAAAACCAGTATTTCTTAGGTTATCATCATGTATAAGAATTAGAGACAAAATTAATATTATTACCAAAAAAATTGATCTCGTAAAAACAGATTTTAAAAATCGATCAGCTGTTAAATCGTGTCAACTTTATACGAAATTTGAACGGCGAGAGAGTATAGTGCTGTTTAAAAAAATCAGATTTGGGATTTAACCAAAATAAATATATAATTTATAAGCCTAATTAGGGCTAAGGCCGCATTCATAGTGGATCCGATCCGACACTATTTAACAGCTGATCGATTTTTAAAATCGGTTTATGAGAATCAATCTTTCTTTATTTAAACCAGTATTTCCTAGGTTATTATCATAGACAAAATTAATATTATTACAAAAAAAATGATCTCGTAAACAGATTTTAACGATCAGCTGTTTAAATCGTGTCGGATCGGATCCACTATGAATGCGGCCTAAAGTAGAATCCCAAGCCTTTCCGCCATTTACGAGCGAAAATATCGGGCTTACACAACATGATTATGGTTATAATCTTAATCGAGCCGTTTTGAAAAATTGACCCGGATGGAACCCTTTTTAGCAACACTAGAAATACAGAAGAAATCGTGAACGTTCGCTTAGCTCTTTTTAAATATAACGATTTCGGTTTGACACTCTCTGGGGCACCAATAAACCACCTGGGAGCGATAGAGAGATGGGATCATAACGATACCACTTCACAGATACTAAAAAAAAAAGAAGAAGAAGAAGAATCTAGTATTTTTTTTAAAACATATTACTGAATTATAATAAATACGGCAATGACCCAAGATTTAAAAATATGGAAGAAGAAAATAATATCCAGCCCTAAAATTTTAGCGATTTGTTCGTATTCTTAGTATTCCTTTTTTTTTATAAAGCAAGCACTGGAGAAGAAAAAAGGTAGATAAGAAAAACGGATTGAGACTTGATAAAAAAAAATCATTTGGCCTCGAATTCGAAGTGGCGCGATTGCGATCGCGAATTAACAGCTGATCGATTTTTAAAATTCTGTTTAATATTAATTTTTATCTTTAATTTCAATTCATAAATAATAATCTAAGAAATGATGATTTTAATAAAGAAAAAATTGATCTCATAAAAAACGATTTTTTTAAAAAAAACTATCAGCTTTTAATTCAAGGTAAAGGGGGCTAAGAGAGGATTATGCGCAAAAAAAAATCAATAAAAGTATTCGAAACGAACTGCCTGATATTTTTTTGGGTGGTAAAAAATAAAATATAGGACTAATTGACAAGAGCCAATCAGACCCAACTTTCTATTTATGTAGCTCGAGTTGAAAATGTTAAAAATGAAAGAACGGATATTTCGATATCCACGAAGGAGGAAAAAAATTAAATAAGCGCTCATGGAAAATGAAAATATTTTTTTTCTGTTAATTATTGAAAATGATATTTTATAAATGAAAAGAAAAGATAGAAAGTATTTAAAGGAAAAAACAAAATAATTTAAAAATTTATAAGAAGGTCTGTGTCCTGTCCGATTCGAGTTTAAAAAAATTTAAAATACGAGCAGGAGACATATAGAATGTTTGCAAGTAATTGTAGGCCCATGGTAGGCAGGGGTCAATAAGATACTATTTTATATCATCTTCCATATGTCCAATACAAAATATATTTTCTTTTTTTTTCCTCGACCGTCGATTGTGCGTTTTCGAAATGGAAAAACTTTTCAAAAAATCGCAAATCTCTCATTTTAAAAATCTCGGCTCAAAGTAGCCAAGATTACTCCGACACTGAATCTTGGACAGGTTCGTAATATCGAAATTTCGTATTTTTTGTAATATTGTAGATAAATATTAAACATACCTGACGTGAGAGCTCAGGGGGTTGAAGTTGCTGAAGTAGTATAAAATGGTTAGCAGTTGTTCCAAAAAGGCATCCATATTCTTACATGTGGAAAAATAGAAAATCAAAATTAGAATTTAAAAAAAATAATTAACTTCTTAACATTTGACATGTAAACTGACAAAAAAAAAATATGTATCGAAATCAATCAAATTCAAAATACGTCAATTAAAAAAATAATTTTTAAAAAAAGTATCAGGAAAAAAAAAAATTAACTTCAAATATATGGGGGCTAAACAGTTCCTTGTATAGCTCATTCAATTCAATCATGTAGGAATTGTTTCGGTCGGGACAAGACTTGATCTTCAAAAAAAGATTCATCTGATCCTCGCTGAAGAAGTAAGAAATTTTGTAAAGGGAGAAGGGAATGGGCATTGGGGGAAAAATATTATTATTACAAACAGCTGAAAAACATATGTTGCCGTTTATATATATAAAGGAAAGAGAGTTATGGTTTGTACTCAGCCCCCTTTAAAGTAAAGAAGGATCCTATTCGTGATGATCGGAAAAGGGGTGGGGGATCATTCCTGGCTCTTGATAACTGTTTTGGATTTTGTAGAAAAAAAAAAGAAGAAGACCGGAAGAAAAGAAAGACGAAAAGAGAGAAATGAAACTTGATATCGCTGGCCCTGAATCCCAGGGATTCATTTCTGGTCAAATGTACGGAAACGGCGTTTAGCTTCCCGAATGAACTGGAATCGAATTTTCTGGAAGGAATTTGAGTCGATATGCTGACCCCGTCTTCATTCATTTTACTCTGTAGAGTGAGGGGAGGGAGGTGGGATGATAAATAAAATGATTGTATATTCGTTTTAACTACATTTTTTTTTTTGTAAAAATAAAAATAAACTTTGGCGAAAGTCAGAAGTTGGGAGTAATTGAGCGGGCTATCCATGAGATAGGAACCATTTTCTGAGTAAGGCTTGAGCATGTCCTCGCTGTTAACACATTCAAATATATAATGTATATTCGTATTTTTTTTAAAAAAATATTAGAATATTGATTTGTCCTTTTTGAAACACCACGGTAAGTAAGACGAGAGATAATCAGAATCGAGTTTGCAAAAAATTTTCGCTATGAAATCAATTTTTGCTTCATCGATATCAAATAATATCCCTTTAAAATTTAAATGGTGATAGATAAAACAGTTTTTATATTAAATTCGATCAGCTGTTAAATCGCCAACGACAGCATTGGGCCCACTTATTGAAAAATAAAAAGCGGTAAAAAATAAATATACGGTCCGAAAGCTCGGTTCACGTCGGATGCGAAAAACCTTTACAAAAATTTCCACGGGTCGGGCGGGCTCCGATTACTATACAGAGTTTGGAACATGAAACAAAGAACCAAAGTGAGAAAGATTAGCTGAAACCAGAACAAAAATTTTAGAAGTAAAACGGCCATCTAAATTCTTTTTTTAGACACGGCAGAACCATTTCTAGGAAACCAAAAAAAGTCTATACTTTAATTTTAGTAGTTAAACTCAGCTATTGTTATGTCCATCCTTTTTTTTTTATTAAAAATCGATCTACATTCTTTTTCACCCTTTTTTTTTCTTCATTCCATTCATTTCTTTCTTATTTATTCTGTATTATCATCTTTAGTATTCTAAATATATTAATAACAAAAAAAAAATGTTCGATAATAATAATAATACCTATCGGAATGTTGCACTAGGGTGGTCAGCAGATTTAGGACCAATTTGAAGTACGATTCGTATTTCGGGGTTCTTTTACCTTCCCTGTTATTTACAATAAATCTTTTAAAACTTCTTTCTTCAGAAAAAAAAATCTAGCAAAAAAATAATCAAGTCTGTGTTAATTGGGTCATTTGATTGACCTGCTTGCGCTCAAATATCTTCAGGTCCGGTCCGTGTTACAGAAAAATCGATTTTAAGGTCAGAGTCCCCTTTCAAACTGTATCGTTTTAAGCGGCGATACTATTTGACTAGCGAAATCCACAAGAATCTCGCTACTTCGCATAACTATAGTATTTTTGGCGAATAAACCAAAACATGAGTAATTAATTATATAGAAAGAAATACGTGTAGAATAAAAAAAAAACCCTTATCTGAGAGAAACATCTGGGGCAGGGTGGCCAGTTTAGTTAGACCAAATGTATGATTTAAAAAAATTTGATTATATTTCTTATGGAAAGGAATAATAAGATTTATCGCCACTTCCCACATACATTTGGGAAAATTTATATATACATTCTCAATATTTTGTTATTGGCTTTTTGGTCGAAAAACCTGATTAGATCTTTCCATTGATATTAATAGCTATTTCTGGCCATATCTCCAAGTATCGCTCTTGAATATATTTGTAATGGATTTATAAATATGCTACCGAGGAATTCTTCTACTCATGGCAATATTTATTTTTTTTACTACACTCAAGTTATAAAATGTAAAATAACATATTTTTTTAAAAAAAATATATATATATGTTAACTTCAAAAGATAAAAATAAGAGTCCAGCTTCGATGACGACCTATCTCCGTACCTAGTGGATCTCGCGAAAGATTTCCGAGGAAGCTGGTAAAACCAGAACAAAGGCTGGGAAAAGTCGGATAACCTTTAGAAAATAAAAATAAAATATATTCATTATTATATATTGTTCTTTTAGCGTGACGATTCCTAAATGGGCGCCCCCCCCCTTAAAATTAAATCGGAACGAGAAACTTTAAAACGTCAATTAACAGTAATCATCGAAATGTAATGTGGTATATAAAGATGACAGACAGTATTCAAGAAAGTCCAATTCACGAGCACACAAATCCCCCACCCCACCCCCACTGTAAAAGAGATTTTTGCCCGGGGTAAATTAGGTCCGATCATAGATATATTGAAGAAAAATTGAGATATTGCCGAAAACTATACGTCGATGATAAATGTTACTTTTTTGCCCATATTCTCCTTTACACGTTACTATATAAATAAAAAATTTATTCCGATACTTATCTTGCACCATTTATTTTCTCTTCTCCTATATTCCCCAATACAGCCGATTGAATTATTTTATGGAACTATAATTGGATTTTTTTGTTTAAAAAAAAACACTTATATAACGCTAAAAAAATATTTGTGTGTGTGGAGGGAGAGGTGGGTAAAACAAATCGGGGTTAGAATGGACATCCAAAGTTAATAATTTGACCCTAACTTGATTTACATCAAAATTCTAGATAGAAAAAAATCCTGTCATAATCAAATCATGTATAGGGTCAATCATCTTCGCGCCTTTTTCTTTTTTTTTCTTCCTTATAATATTTTATGGCGCTTTAAAATAAAAAGCGTCGAACAGAAAATAATTTAAAAAGAAGTTAACCGAACTTTTATAAACCGCCATAACTTAGTTTGAACGGTATCATAAAGATTTTTTTTATTTTTTATTGTTATCATTCGTATCTCCTCGCATGTTACAATTTTTGCGCTAATTTTAACTCTGTGGGTGTTAAAATAAGATTTAAATTATTTATATATATAGAAACGAATATATGGGGCACCCTGTATAACAAGAATCGAACCTTACATCAAAAGGTTTAGACATTGACAAAGGATAAAATGATTTTCTAATAATCTGTATGAGTTGATGGGGGGGGGTGAGGAAAAGTAAAAAGATAGATACCTGATATATTTGGTTACGAGTTGGTACATGTCAATCCAAGAGAATTCTGAACCGTGCCTTGTCAAAAACGAATAATCACCGTACTTTAGGCGGTAATCCTTAAAAATATAGTTATTTTATTATTTATATATATATATACATCTTACAATATGTTCAAATTTTTCAAGTTCACTCCTGTCCGAGATAAATAATAAATTTTTGACCGATATGTTTATTTTTTTTTTAAGGAAGAGAGTTTGATGCAATGTGGAAGGAGGAGGGGGGGGGGAGAAAAATTAAAGGAAAATATCGGATAGATAAAAAAAAAGAAATGGAAGATTTTTTTGTAGAAAGGGAAAACAAAAATAATCTAAAAATTCTGTCAGAGTTTGTCAATGTTCCATCTGGCCAAGCTTGTCCGATGATCGCATAGAGTTCAGTTCAGTCCAATCGAGTTCTGGTTAGATTCGAAGGAGAGCACTCAAACGAATTTATAGAAGTCTTCACGTTCCCCTATACCGGTTTACTTAGAAATTGGTAAAAACATAAAAACAGGCCACAATCGTAAATATATCTGTATAATTATTTTGAAAGCATATTGTCCTTATTCTATCCATGATGCTGTTTGTCGGTATATAATATGATCGTAATCACGGAAAACAGCATCAGATTTGAAATGATTAAGATAAAAAAAAAACTTTTAACGTTTGCGCTAAATGAACGACCGCCAACCCAACGAGAAGTCTCTCCCTTGGCGTGTTAGCCCAGCCGTCACCGGTACCGAGCATGGACCTACCTAGTTTAGCGGCTTCACACAGGGTATTTTTGGTTTCTTGTCTCAACCCATTTTGGCTCTCTGAAATTAACAATCTAAAAAAAAAATGATAAATAATTTTGTCAAAACGCCCATATCTATAACAACTTGTTTTTACAATTCTAACAATCTTTTCGATCGGCGATATCTTGTGCATATTAGGTGTTAAGAAAATTAATTCTATTTTAAAAAATTTAAATATAGGCATTGAAAAAAAAAACTAACTAGTACCATTCAGGAAAATGAAGTTTTTTTTTTTTGGAAAAGATACTATTAGATACTTGACTCTTATGCCATAAACAAGGATGCGAACCTGAACCCGGGTGCAATTTTGTGGAAATTTTGATAACAGGAACATAGTCAAAACCGATTTCTTAAGAGAGGTCCAAACCCGTCTCAGGCCCGATTTGCCCTCAAATCGGTCTCTGTTTGGTCCGCGGTTTCAAATTCAACGGGTTCACATCCCTGGCCATAAATATACTGCCTTAACTCAATGATCGAATTCCTAGATTTAAGTATTAAAATAAAATCATCTGGTGACACGCTATTCAGATTATCCGTGCTAAAAAAAAAATTTGAATAAAGTTTTTCGTATAAAAAATTTTTTTTAATAACATTAATTATTTATTTAATAAGGGTAAAACAAAAATGGCGTGTCATCAGCTCATTTGTCATTGATCCAAAAGGAATCAATGGGTTAGTTAGTAAATACAACATCTCAATAATATAAATCGCTTTGCGGAAAAAGCAGGGTTAGAAAAAAACGCAATAAAAAGGGGCTTACGGTTTTATCGCGGAATTCATGGGCGGCTGCTCTGGCGGATTTAAAGTTTTCTGATTTATTTATTATATATATATTTTTTTGTAAAAAAAATGGAAAGAAGGATTACGACTATATAAAAAGATATATTTTTTCCCCCATAATAATTTTAAAAAATTTTGAAAATATAAGAAAGAAAGAAAGAAAGAAAGAAAGAAAGAAAGAAAGAAAGAAAGAAAGAAAGAAAGAAAGAAAGAAAGAAAGAAAGAAAGAAAGAAAGAAAGGAGTAAATCAAACGACTATAGAGAATGAATTGATTAGTTATATTATTCATAGCCAAATAAAGAAACGGTTGACATCTAAATAGCATTGCTCAAAGTAGCGTTAATTGATTATGTTTTATAAACGTCTTCAAAATGACATATTCAAAAAATGGCCGCCATGCCATATCTGAAGCGATGAAAAATCAAAAATGGTCGTTAAATATAAATCGCAAATTATATTTCATACCTTTTTCGAATATAATAATATTTATAAATGTTAACGGCTGTCGTCAATAATATGGAATACTATCTTAGAATACAAAAATCTTAAATTTGAAGTATATAAGTTTTCAACAGTATACTACTGGTTTGCATTTTTTTAGAAATTTTCTAAGTAAGAGGCATATAAATTAAAAAACTTAAAAATGAATAATTTAGTTGATTATCGATTTTGAACTTTACTAAAACAAATCACAATATTAAATTGGTTTGATTTAATTTTGTATTAATAAATGATTGTATTTAATTAATTAAGATCGTAAAATAACTTAAATAATATCAAATCAATTAACCTTCAAATGTTAATGCTTGATTAATATTGAGACATTATGAGTGATCTTCATATTCCATTTTTTAACACAAAATTTTTGCAATTGTTAACATGGTGAATGAAAATATAATTTAATTTATATGTAATACTCTAAATAATTAACATAACACTTGTTCAAATAAAGATTTATATAGGTCTTAATAATTTTTTTTTAAATTAATATCAAATATTTATAGATGTTAACGACTGTAATGTATTAACTTTTATTTATAAAATTGTATTTTGTTATTTTGGTTTAAAGCTACAAATTTATTGTAATAGAATAAATAGATAAACGATTTTGTAAAAAGTATATATTGGATATATTTTATACATATAATATACATAAAATAAATACCACTTTATAAACTCTACATTTGGCGACGAGGATTGGATGATGGGACAGTGGTTCAACGGAAAAGTGCGATATTGTATGATGTTGAGTCAGAGGGTATTGTAAAAAAAAAGCAAGCATGCCGACCAACTGAGGGATTCTCATGTACAAGCTAAAGAAATACCCCCAAAAAACAATGGCTGCGGATTTAGACAATGCAGAACATAAAGGAAATATAACTTTAAAAAAAAGGAAGTGATTCGAAACCCCCATTACATTATCACGAAGAATTCAAATTGTAGCGGAGAGAACTGTAATTTAATTGTATTTTGGTTTAAAGCTACAATTTATTTGTTAAAGTATATATGGATATATATATTTTCTCATTTTATGCATATTATAATATACATAAATACCTATAAACTCTACAGCGACTGTCGCCAATAACATGGAATGCTAATCTCAGAATACAAAAATATTAAATTCGAAGAAATATTGTATTATTTTATATATTAACTCGTAAAGAAAACAATGTGATAGTAATACGTGTACCTGATAAAAAGTTTATACAACTAAGTTGATCGTGACAATTGTTTTGGTAGAGCTAAGCTATAATTAAAAGGGCATAATAATTATCATAGAACATACAGCTAAGTGTAAATGTAATGAAATAAATATTTAAGATATTTAAACATCGTTATTTTGAATAAGATAACACCCATCTTACTCTTCCACATCGCAATCACGAGATTCTTTGCCAGTTATCTCAAGTAAAAATTTGTTTATAATCTATGTTCATGCAATGATATTCCAAATTTGCAACTACAGGTTTCTGTGATATTGCCTGATATCTGAAGTAAATAAAATCTATTATAATTTCTCAATTTACACAAATCTAGATTCCCCTCTTGACTTAGCGCAAGCTTTATTAGACTTAAATTCAAATATTTATTGCAAAAATTATCGTAATAATAAATTGTATTAATATTATTTTTAATTTAACTAGAGGCTCGTTTTGTCAAGAGCCAAAAGGGGAAAATGTTACTCTTCTTTCAGAACTATCTCTATAGATTTCAGTGTCAAAATGGGGATATTATAAAATATCGTTGTAGAGTAACTGATTATACATGATCATCCTTTTGAAATAGGGACATTCGAGATGCTTAAATCTAAAGAAGCACTCGAAAACATAGTAGCTCAGAATCCCCCTGAGACACGCTTAAACATTTATCAACAAACAATGGATAAGAGATGTTTGGAGGATCCAGAAATAGAAAACTATTCTGAGGCGATACCATCATTTATATCTTTGAGGAGTCACATAGACAGACATACTCCTTATGAAATATCGGCCCCCTATGCCTCAATCGATTTTGGATATTAAGTTATCAGCAGAATATGCTATGACAACTAGCAATGAACGTTTTCTAATCCATTGAACAGGTAACCTATACTTTTTTTGGCACTGATTCCATGTTGCGCTTGACTGAGGGTTCTGACATGATCTACATGGATGGAACTTTTCATGTAGCTCCTACCTTATTTTTATCAACTTTATACCTTGCATGTTATGTATGAAGGTGTTATGATGCCTATCATTTACGCTCTACTTCCGGATAAGACAAAAGAAACATATATCCGGCTTTTTCAAATTATTACTAATTTTTGGGCCAAACGCCAGATAACCTTTAATCCTCGATTTGGCCAAACAGACTTCGAGGCAGCTGTTATATCAGCTCTCAAGTTTGTATTTCCTAACATGATTGATTATAAAAGGTTAAATTTATGATTTTTTTTTTACATTATTCCCAAGAGCGTTATTTTGCAGATGTCAATCTCTTAAACGTGTATTTGCATCACTCCAATGTTCATAACCTACGTACATAACATGAAAGGTATATAGGTGATAAAACAAGCTAGGAGCTATATGCAAAAGTTCCATCCATGTAGATCATGTCCGAACCCTCAAAACGTATAGGATGCCTGTTCCATGGATTAGAAAGCGTTCATCGCGAGTTGTCGTGGAATATTCCGCTGATAACTCAATCTCCTAAATCGATCGAGGCATGGAGGGACGGTATTTCATAAGGAGTCTGTCTATGTGACTCCTCGAGGATATAAATGATGGTATGGCCTCAAGATGGTTTTCTATTTCTGGGCCCTCCAAACATATTTTATCCATAGTTTGCTGATAAATATTTAAGCGTGTCTCAAGGAGGATTGTGGGATATTATGTTTTCGAGTGCTTCTTAAGTTTTAAACATCTCGAATGTCCCTATTTCAATAAATTATTATGTTTACCAGTGGCTATGTATACACCATCATATATAAATTTAGCATGACAACCTGCTACTTTACAGCGATATTTTATAATATCCCCATTTTGTGAGTGAAATCTATAGAGATAGTTCTGAAAGAAGAGTAACATTTTCCCCTTTTAGCTCTTAACAAGACGAGCCTCTAGTTAATTAAGAATAATATAAATACAATTATAATAATATTTACAATAAATATTTGAATTAAAGTCTAATAAAGCTTGCGCTATGTCAAGATAGGAATCTAGATATAATATATTTTATTTACTTGAGATATCAGGCAATATCACAGAAACTCGTAGTTGCAAATTTAGAATATCATTGGATGAATCTGGATTATAGATAAATTTTTCCAATTTGAGAATTTCTAAAAAAAAATTATTTACTTGAAGATAACTGGAAAAATCACAGAATCTCGTGATTATAAATTTGGATTAGCATTGGCCGAACGTAGATTATAAACAAAATTGTCAATAGAATTTAAAATTTTTATTTATTTATTTGAGATATCAGGCAATGTCACAGAAACTTGTGATTGTGATGATGGAGGAGTAAGATGGGCGTTATCTTCAATTAAAATAAAGATGTTTAAATATCTTTAATATTTATTTGATTACACTCTAAATCAAGCTGCATGTTTTATGGTAATTATCAGAGGACGAGCCGTGCCGTGTACCTGAAATCGCCATTATTCGCTATAAAAATCAAGAAATAAATATAAATATATTTTTTTTTAAAAATCCGGGTCGGGACTGAAAATTTTTAAAATTAAAATATAATATCCGGCCTTGGCCGTGCAAATGGTACCTCTGCAGGTCTTTGGTAATTATTATGTCCTTTAATGATAGCTTAGCTCTAACAAAACAATTGTCAAGATTAACTTAGTTGTATAAACTTTTTATTAGCACTTTTTATAAGGTACTCACTCGTATCCTGAATATGCTATATCAAATGTTTCCTATATACAAATTTATTAAACAATATTACTTCAAGTTTAATATTTTGTATTCTGAGATTAGCATTCTATGTTATTGGAGAGAGTCGCTGTAGAGTTTATATAATGTGGTATTTATGTATATTATATGTATAAAGTGAGAAAATATATATATCCAATATATACTTTTTACAAAATAGTTTACCTATTTATTCTATTACAATAAATTGTAGCTTTAAACCAAAATAAGATAATACAATTTATAATAATAGTTGATACATTACAGTCGCTGACATCTGTAAATATGTGATATTAATTTTAAAAAATTATCAAGACTTATATGAATCTTTATTGAATCAGTGCTATTTTAATTATTTAGAGTATCACATATAAATTATATTTTTACTATGTTAACATTGCAAAAATTTTGTGTTAAAAAATGGAATATCAAGATCATTCATAATGTCTAAATATTAATCAAGTATTAACATTTGAAAGCTTAATCGATTTAATATTATTTAAGTTATTTTACGATCTTAATTATTTAAATACATTCATTTATTAATTGAAAATTAAATTAATCCAATATAATATTGTGATTTGTGTTAGCCAAGTTCAAAATCGATAATCAACTAAATTATTTATTCATTTTTAAGTTTAATTCACTATGCCTCTTACTTAGAAAATTTCTAGAAAAAAATCCAAACCAGTATACTGTTGAAAACTTGTACACTTCAAATTTAAGATTTTTGTATTCTAAGATAGTATTCTATATTATTGACGACAGCTGTTAACATTTATAAATATTATTGTATTCAAAAAAGTATGAAATATAATTTTCAATTTATATTTAATGTCCATTTTTGATTTTTGGTCTCGCTTCAGATATGGCGGCCATTTTTTGAATGTTATTTTGAAGACGCTTTAAAACATAACCAATTCATGCCATTTTGAGCAATGCTATTTAGTGGTCAACTGGATAAATTATGACAGCCATTTGTAATGTTATAATAAAAATTTAAAAAATCGTTACTACGTTACATCATTGATATCGAGGTAGGTATTGGTCAGCCAAGCGTGCCTGAGCTGCCAATCGATCTCTTGGTCCGAATCTAGTTTGGCGAAAGGTTTGGTGTCCAGATGATTGTGCAAATATCTGGCATATTCTTTTATGTAAAGAAGATAAAGGAAAAAAAATGTCTATAAATTCTCAAAGTTGGCGCCTGAAGGTAATGGGTTCTGGTTCAAAAATTAATTGCACTTTTGTGACCATTTCTAGGAAATTTTTATATTCTTGGTTTCCCAACTTAGAGCATTATATAAGTCGGTGACCGGCAGAGGTTCTATTTGCACGGCTCGGCTAGGATTTTTTTTCAGGCCCGTGTACCGGGGTCAGGCGTGCAGGTTCACTGATATAAGGGAAGGAAAGCTTGAAAGATATTTCAAAAGAGAAAATAAGGCGCCTGATGGACTGGCAAGATTAACGATGATGTGTTCTAAGGTATTAAGAAGCTGATAATCCTCAAACTGTTTCTCCGAGATGAATAATCATCCAGTGGTGTGTAATAATAAAAAAAAAATGATTTCATTTATAAAGATGTCGCGAGTTGGTAATAATTTTGTTTTTAAAGCGCAATAATTTTTGGGTTGCGTGAATTTGATTTTATGATTATATTAATTGTAAGCAGTGGCGTAGCTAGAAATTTTCCTTAAACGAAGCCCACCAGACCCAGTTTAACGGGTCTTCGGCCCTTTTGCCCGGCCTACGGCCAGGTTTATCTTACAAATCATAACCATATCTTTCATAATTAAATATATTTTTTAAATGCATCAATAATATGTTATTATAATTTAGTAGATTATTCTAATAATACTATCCAAAATAATTTCAATAGTAATATAATATCCTTCCACAAACATCAAAACCAGAAAAATATAAATATTAATGGTATTTATTTGATATCAAAGTCACTTTTAAGTCTTTTGAACGTAACGTATAATCTAAAAAAAAATTTGCTCTGGGAGGGGTCTAAACCCGAAAAACCACCCCCGTAGCTACGCCACTGATTGTAAGACTTCATGGCGAGTTAAGAATTTATTATTTTTTTTATCATTGTTAATTATTTTTATTTATCGTCCAAATTAGTGTTGTTAAACGGCTAACTCAATATTCTAGCCAGAAAAAATATCGCCTACGTCCAGAGATTTCGCTAATAGATGCCCAAACCTTTGTTCCTTCTACAGACAAAATCTTCAGGCTTGCGTAATATTATTCTGGATGAAACAACGAGTTAGCCGTATCTAAAAATGGACTCAAAACGAGCCGTTTAACAACGCTAGTCCAAATTATTAATTTGAGATGCATAAAAAGGCTGAACATTATAAAAAATTAAAATTATTCAATTTTGGGAAAATAATACTCGAAACGGCTAAGAAAACAATTCCAATTTTTCTAAGAGGAACTTGAGGTATACAGGGTTTGACATCGAAATTCAAAAAAAATCTACAAAATATCTTGCTCTTATGAAGATCAAAAAAAAATGCAAAGATTTATTTTTTATTTTCTACTCAAAATTTTGGGTGAAAATAATCTTCAAATGCTCATGTTAAACTCTGTGCTTAGGTAAGAAACAGAGATGCAAATCAGAACCCGGGTTCAAGAAATTTAAAATTGTTTGGTTGGGCATTTTGAAACCAAGGAACAAACCGAGACCGATTTAAAGACAACTTATTAAATCCGGGGTAAAATGGACTTGGGGCAGGTTCGGACCCCTCTTAGAAAAATCGGTTTGGCTTAGGTTTCCATTATCAAAATTTCCATTAAATGAAATTTAAAATTCTTGAACCCGGGTTCAGGGTTCACATCCCTGGGTAAGATAACTATTAAATTTGTCGTAAAATATAAATATTAAGGCGGCAAAATATTTAGCTTACTATTTTTATAATTTGAAGTTTTAATAATTTTAAAAACTAAATTCTGCGATGGTTTTTATCTTCAATAATTAGTAATTTAGTAATTACACATTTTGGTATACTCTTCTTGCATTTCGTATTTGGCCCTAAACTTAAATAGGTTGTAATAATTCTTAGAAATATCAAATACTCTGAAAAACTCGATATCTTTTAAATTCCGATCATGATGAAACCACGATTTCCATTAACAAAAAATAAATGAACAGTAAATTATAAGAATTCATTATCAATAGTAAACTACAGAGTTGTTAAAGGATCTAGATACTGGCATCTAGATATAAAAATGTGGTATCTGCAACCAGATAGATTTTCGAATAAAATATCTGTATCTAATTATTATGCTCTGAACAACTCTGGTAAACTACAACACTAGATAGTGTCCCCGGGTTTTAAATCGTTTCTAGCTGGAACAAAAAAAAAGTGTGATTCTATAAGTGAAAAGTTATAAATAAAAGAATCAATTATTTTTCTAAACAAAAATATAAAAATTACCTCTCAAATAGATGGACGAGCGAAAATATTCGGAATTCGCGTATTTCGATCTCAATTGCGGGTCGGAAAAAATCTTTTGAAAATAACATAATTTTTACATTTTTGTAAATCTAAAATTCGTGTCTTTTTTTTTTCTTCTTCAAATTTTTTTCCCAATTTAGTTAAAACTAATATCAATATCATCATAAAATATTAGTTTAGACTTTAAAATAATAAACTTGAAAAATATATTCATTTAAGTGGCTGTTTTGTAGTGATGTTAAAAGTTACTTTTGAAACATAACTAGTTACAGTTACTAGTTACATTGGCAAAAACATAACTAGTTACAGTTACTAGTTACATTTTTACAAAAGTAACTAGTTATTAGTTACAGTTATTTTCAAAAGTAACTAGTTACTTACTTTATACATCATTCATATGCGCATTATTTATTTATTGAATGCATTTATTTAATATAAAAAAAATTAGGATAAACAAAGTATAATCAGTTATTTAAAATAATATACAATTTATTTATATAAAAAAATATCGCAAAATTGAATATTTACATCGAATATAAAAATATATATTTGCAATGAAAAAAAAACATTTATTTTTCATAAAAATTAGAATCTAATAAATGTTTATTTGCTTTTAACAACAAATTAATTTCAAGGTTATTATCTAGGAGACGTGCTCGTTCGTTTATCTCCAAAAATGAGCTTACCTAGACTGAACAAGCGCTCTACGGGAGCACTTGATGTTAGAACAACATTTTATTTAATAAAGAGTAATTTTAACTTTGGAAAATCGTTATATAAAGAAAAAGTGTTGTTACTTGTTAGATATGATAGAGTTTTCTATAAGTTCATTATCCAGAATATTTTGGCACTTTAGGTCAAAAAATCCAACTACATCAAGTGATGTTGTAATCATTTTTTTAAATTTGAGTAATGTGCTTATGATTTTGTTAGACTTGGTTCTTGTAAGTAATGATTAATAATTTAATATTAAATTCTAAAATAATCTGTCTTTGTTTTTCCTTATTCTAAATTAAAATTTTTTTTTATTACGTATGATATGAAGTTCCAATGCTTGTTATTTGACGGGAAAAAATATATTGTGCTACATTTGTTACTTAAATTTGCTTACAAAATTTGAAGCCCAGCAGCAATGTAACAATTTAAGAAAAGAAAATCAATTTGAACGGGAAATTATAACAATCAGACATTTTCACAAAATTTTAAATTAATAAATTTAATTTAAAAAATAAATTTAATTTAAAATTAATTTATCACAACATATTAAAAATAAAATTAATTATTTAAATATATCTTTAAAAGTAACTAGTTACTTTTGGTATAGTTACATTTCAAAAATTATAACTAGTTATAGTTACTAGTTACAATTTTAAAAATATAACTAGTTACAGTTATTTTTTAGCCAAAATCTAGTTACCTCAGGTAACTAGTTACCTTAACATCACTACTGTTTTGTTTAGTCATTCATTATATATAAATAAGGGATGTACCGATATTTTATATCGGATCGGATCTGGCTGATATTTCGCCCATTTTAAAATATCGGTTATCGGCAAATATTATAAAATTTTCCGATCCGATCCGATAAAAAAAATGGCGCTTTTAACAAAATTTTAAAAAAGTTCTATCTAAAAAACCATTTATTTTTATATAAATAAAATCGAAATCCATTTTTATGTTAAATTATTTTAATAGTAGCAATTAGTTAATAAACATTCTGCCATATAGTTTTCAAATTTCATAATATATTTGTTTATTACTAATTATGTAAATAGATTATTGTTATTACTTATTATATAAATAAGTAATTTATCAATAAAAATATTTTATATACTTTAAGAATTGCAATTGAATTGAATATAAACTATAACTTATCGTTATAATATATTTAAATGACATATATTATGGTATAGTAAAATTATATATGTTATACTAATAAAAATATATTAAAAATTGAAAATTAAAAACCATTGGTATCTTTACAGAATACAAAATTTGATATGATATCGGATCGGTTATCGGCCGATATCAACTTAATATCTGAAATATCGGATCAGCCTCCAAAAAGTGGTATCGGTACACTCCTAATATATATATATAAATTTTAAATTTCTCAGATTCGATTGGATTACGCATTTGCTAAAAGAATTTAAATAAGGATAATTCAACTTTCCTAGTGGATTCATTTTTATAATATTTATCGTAAGATTAAATAGCTCAATATAACAAATATATAAGAAGAGTGATGCAAAATCGTTTCTTTGATAAATTGAGCCTGGGGAGTTAACGCTAACTTAACATCGAATATAATAAAGACTAGAAAATATTGACAGTAGGAGTGACAAAATATGAAGAATATATGATTGACGTTTTTTTTTTAAACTTTTGATTATGAGATTGAAAACTTTTATAAATTATTTATAAAGAAGGATAACAAGAAAAAAAATAAAATACTTTGCTAAACGTCAGAAGACTATCGTAAAATTGAGCCCTGTTAAGCTGAACGAGTCCCGTATAATAAACGCATCGCAATCGCGTGTAACTGTTGATGTCGTCATTCGTTAGCGAAGGTCTGTCCAAACATTTCTTATATGCGGAAAATAAAGATACTCCTTTATTAAGGTATTTTATAAAAAAAATATACAATTTTTTCTTCCTTCCTTTCTTTGTATTTCATTTTATTCATTTTCTCTATTTCTGTAAATTCAATCGATTCGTTCAAACAAATGGTTTAGCAATAATTACTCGGAAATCCATCGAAGATTCCGAGAGTCGACCGAACCTGTAAAGGATAAGCCCCATCTCGTAATGAGTACGTTGAGTTTGATTGGCGTTATTCTCGCCTTTAGATTCGCACCCAACTTTACGGTCGAAATTTTGTATGGGGCATTCAGAATTCCGAGGGAGAGTTGCGTAGGCGGAAAGCGATTGCTCAGCGTCACCCAGTAAGCTTTACAGTAATTGTGTTATATTTAAACAACATAGTCCGAAATTTTATATTTTCCGCCATAATTGATGGAAGAACCGGGGCAGCTCTTAACTTTATTTTTGAAGCAGAAAATCTAGAAGAAGAAAAAGACTCGTATAAATATGATAATCATTTCTGGTTACTCGAAATACTCTAGAAGTCGATCGAAACACCATTTCTCTTAAACGTCAATCAAATTTTATCATAATTATTTTCTTAAAAATTGATCACATCTTTAATAGTCAATTTGTTTTTTTTTCTTCTTCAAAACTTGTAAGTATTGGCAAGATTAGCTATGCTTTGGGCAGTAACGACGCATCTATCCCATTTGTAATAAAGAGCCAACACTTCCTAGAGTGTATAATTTAAATTTAAAAAAAAAAAGAAGATTTTTTAGAATTAATAAATTGTTCCTGTATCGTTCTGTTTATAACCTATACAGATACTGAAAAAAAATACAATTAATTTGCCTATCAAGTAACGTGATGACCAAAACTAAGAAACGGCGCCCTCTAGATTACATGTAAACTATTCTTGTTAGTTTTTTTTTTTAAACACGCGGAAGGAAGGTTCAAATTTTTTTTATTAAAAACTGTAACATCAATCCACCACCTCCCGCTTCCACCCCTTTTCTCCCGACACGTGTTTATTACTAATGCGAACCTTAGGTCTCCCTAGCCGGGTTAGCAAAGTGCCCAAAAAGTTTACCATAACCGGACAATCTTCGGGGTCCTCTTCGTCGCCACCGCTAACTCTCGAAGAAAGGGCCGAGTTCAAATCCGCTTCGGCGTCGGCTAGATTATTCTGACGAAAATTTTAAAAAAATATATATATATTTTATTTATCGTTTATACTAGCGGTATAGCACTTTTCTCTCCTCTAAGAAAAAAACAAAAATATCCGTTCGAGTTAATTAATCATCACCCCCCCCCCTTACCAAACTCTCCCCAAATAATTAATATTATCCCAAAAATCCTTTATAATTGCTACATTCTGACCTAGCCCCTCGCTAGCCTTATTTTCTGGAGGTATTCTACCGCTCCGCCTCCAAATTAACGATTTACGCTTCTTATTAAGCGTCACGATAAATCATATTTCCGTTTCCTCAATTAAAAAAAAAAAGTAACTGGCATTTTATTTTTAATTTTAAAAAAATGGAAACAAAATATAAATACGTAAATAACCAGCAGGATATGGTGCAGAGCTCGCAAGAAATAAATTTCCCAGATATCGTGAAAGCTCAAGAGGAGGGTCAAATCGTTCACGCATTCCTCGAACATGCCCGCTTTCGAATAGAGCTTACCGTAACGATTCATAGAAAAGAAAAAAAAAATGCGTTTTAAAGAAAATCGATCCCAGGGGATATTAGGGGTTCGGGTCCGACATAAAAAAAAATACGAGCGTTCAGGAAAGTTCAGGGTCCGCGATCCCCGCTATTCTACTTCCTTTCTTATTCAAAAAGTGAAAACTCCATCGATGGTGGGTGTCGTTAAGATCGATATTTTAACCAGAAAAAAAAATATCATACGAGCCTAAAAGATTCCGCGCATATGTGGCCTAAAGGTTCGGACATCTCGAAATCTTGAAGCCTAGCCAATATATTTTATTATTATCTACCAGAGTTGTTAAAGGATCTAGATACTTAGATATAAAAATGTGGAATCTGTATCTGTATCTAGATAGATTTTTGGTTAAAATATCTGTATCTAGATATTATTTTAGACGATGTATCTGTATCTAGATCCATTTAAGAAGTATCTTTTAACAACTCTGTTATCTACACTACAAAAATATAAGCGTATCAGGAATTTGGGGGGGGGGGGGGTCGGGTAAAAATAGGAGCGTTCAGGAGGTGTTCAAGAGCCAGGATTTAAATCCCTGTCTGAAGATTTTGCATAGAGATCGCTTAAAGGTTTGGACATCTATTAGCGAAATCTCGAGGTTTAGGCAATATCTTTCGGGGATAAAGTATCGAGTTAGCCATTTTTTTAAAAAAATATCGGCTCAAATCGAGCCGTTTAACAACACTAAGTGACTTCCGTCCAATCAACTTGAATAAGTGTCAGGCAATTTTTATTTTATTTTTTGTCAGAATTAAAATGCTATATTTGAATTCCAATTTTTTTTTATGGTCCGACATGATACGAAAAAAAATTCATAAATTTTTGTCCGATGAAACGGAGAATTCTCCTCCCCCCCCCCTCCACCCACTCTAATCCGCCACGATATGGAAAAAAAATACGGAAATTGAAAAAAATTGATAAGGGCCGAGTCAACGTCATAGCTAGACTCCATTTTTGAAAAGCAGACTAGAACTAACCTTGAATTCATAGTGGCGCGATTGGGATCGCGATTTAACAGCTGATTGATTTTTAAAATCTGTTTATGAGATCAATTTTATTTGTTAAATATTAATTTTATATTTAATTCAAATTTTAATAATAATCTAAGAAATAATGATTTTAATAAAGAATAAATGATCTCATAAACAGATTTTAAAAATCAATCAGCTGTTAAATCGCGATCGCGCCACTATGAATTCAAGGTAAGGGTTCTGCAATGGGAGGGGTTTTAACCGGAGCGTTGGCCGGCCCATTGTTTTAAAAGAAAATTTTGTAACCAGCTTAAATATTTAAAAAAAATTTTTTAGCTAGCCCGCCCATTGCAGACCTCTAGCTTGGACAACTTATTTTAGATTTTTTTTTGAGATCAAATATAGATTTTGCGAGGTGATGATTGTTGTGTTCGTAATCGTGTCACGTTCAATGACATATAATAATGCCTAGACTGACGATGCATTCAAAAGCGTCGTTGAATGCAAATCAGCTGGACCCGCCATTTTGGTAATCCGTATAGTCATTATTCTATGTTAAAAAACTATAATTAAATCGATAACTTGCTTACTTATTATCGCGATGATCAAACAATTCTTTAATAAAGTTTGCGTCAGACATAGGAATAAATTGGCCTTTCGTTTAAAATTTTTAGTAATGATATGGGTAATCAAAATGGCGTCCCCAGTTGTTTTCATTGATGAACACTATTAATGAATGCATCGTCACTCTATAGTATCATAATATGTGATTTACACGTTAGATAAACCAAATTGTTTTATTTTAAATTAATTGTTTATATTATTTTCTTTAAATATTAATTAAATATATAAGTAAATAGGATATAAAATATTCAAAATTCAAAGATTCATTTTGTTCCCTTTTTAATACATATTTCAATGATCTCTTTTTTTTAAAAAAAACTCCCCCATTAAAAGGGTGCTTATTTCAATTTTCTTTAAAAAAATCTATAACAAATCCACCATTTGGAACGGCTATTTATAATTTTTTTTTAAATGAACGAATCAGTGTGCAGTCCGAGTTATTATTGAAAATAATTTGACATCTTGTCGACCTGATCAGATCCGCTATAAATTCTCGAAAATAAAGGTCGAATCTGACCTATACCTAAAAAACGAATTATTCGTCATTCGATTCGAATAAGAATAAAGAAAAAATGTATTACCTGATCGAATAATTTAAAATTATTCATAAATATAAAAAAAATTCATCCATTCATTACCACGCAAGTAATTGCTAGAATTGCAATTTCATATCACCCACCAGGAGTTGACATGTGCATCAGGTATTTTCACTAATGCATAGATCCCATACATGATGTCTACCCGTTTTCTCATAGTGGACGGTACCACATGTAGTCAGTTAGCGTAGCGAAGAAGTGAGGAGTAAGAAAGTGGTTAATTCATAATTGAAATTTATTATTAATTATTTACGTGTTCCTAGCGGAAAGTTTTATTATGAATTTTTTTAAACTTTCCTATTTTTTTACCACAACCCATAAATTACTTTTCTTAAATTATAATAACCCATTTTTTTTGAATTGAATCAAATATTCGACGAATCAAATCGTTTTATTATTCGTACTACGAATACTGATATGACATTATTCGTTTCGAAAAAACGAATCAAATACGAATATGTAAATATTCGATACGATTCGTATATTTGTAGATATAATTTGACCGAGTCCGATCGACATAAGTTCGGTCGGATCGGGCCCGGGTTGTATTCGGGTTAAATCGATTCGTGCGAGACTCAATAAATGACTGTGAAGATAACTAATCACTAATATCCTATAAGATGATAGGAAAGGAGAAGGAGAAGAATTTTAAATTGCACACAAAGAAATAGTGAGAAATCAAATGCAAAAAAAAAATATTTTATTTGTAGCTTACAATGGATCTGAGAATGATATGCATTGGCAGGTAAGATGATTGACTGATATTGCACAACTTGATAGAAAACGTCAAATCTTCTAATCCCTGTATACTTGCAGTGGGTGAATCCTTGAAAAAAAAATGGTTATTATAATTGTACATGAAATAAAATCGTAAAATAAGAAAAAGAAAGATAAAAGAAAGAAAGAAATTAATAAATAAATCTTACATCTAGGCGCAGCATCGCGGCTACCCTTCCAAAATATCCACCTTCGAATTCTGGATATTTCTAAAATAAAAGTATAAATATATATATATACTATATATTTTAAATTTATTCTCCTCGTACATGGTACATAATTATATTTTTCTTGTGAAGTAACTGTTCCTATTTCCTGTAAATTTTTTACAGGAATTAGAACCCATTCTAACAAAAGTATAATAGTACAAACTAAATTATGTTATAATAGAGTTCAAAATGTTTTTTTAAGTGTATACCGGAGTGTCCTAGCATTTAAAAATTTTTTAGCATTTTTGGTAGCCATTATAAAAGAAATTTAAAAGTTAAATATATTTACAGGGCAAATAGATATCCAATTTCTCAAATTTAAATCATTTACCGGGAGGCTCTTTATATATTTATAAAAATAGGATTTGATCAAAAATGTGTTCCAGTATGCGAGAAGTGCCCGCATCCTAAATTTCAGACCATTTTTGCCATGAAATTTAGATGTAATCTTATTTTATAAAATACACAAAAGTTTACAGCAAATGTACGAAATTTACAGTGAGCCTGTTTAATCTTCACATGCTATAGGTGATAAAAAAAAATCAAAAATTCAAATGCCTCAAAATTATAAAAATATTTAGATATATTTTTTTTACAGTAAATGATTGGTATCAACTTTTAACTTTATGCACTAGAATGTTCTGGTATGGACTGAACTTTATCAAGGTTTGATTAGTGCTTAATCATTTTTTTATAAGATTGCTATAGGCAAGAGTTTGGGGGTAGACCCACTAGAACAAGATTCCCTTTTATTCCAAATTCTGTAAAAGTAGACCTGCGCGCCGGCCGGCCACTTTTTTGGCTACGCCGAAAACGCCGCCGTTTAAAAAAATCACGCCGGCGCATAAATTTCTTTCATATCATACCTTTTTATTCTAATAATTGGTCAACATCACTGTTGTAATTTTTTTTAATGTCAATCAGGATTTTGATGAATTTTTATTTCCTACTATTTTAAAATCATAATTATATTGACGTCATTATAGAATTCAATCAACCAAAAATATAAAATTCCAAAAGTTACCATAATTTTACATATTTTTAAAATGGATGCATCTACATTTAATAATTCTATAAATAATTTTACTATCCTAACTCTGGATAATAAAAAAATTCATAGTCTGGAAATTTTTTGCAAAAGATTTAGAGAAATTATTACTGCTCTAAGATATAAAACTGCAGAGGTTGAATTTGAATTCCAGGAAGATCAAAAAAATGTCTAAGTACAATAGATTTAACAACAGACATGTTAGATCTTGACAGCATTGATCCATACCCGGATACCCGTTTTCAAATTGGCAATTCCAATGATAGTAATAACAATAATTCCACGCAAACGAAAACCTTAAAATTAGTATATTAATTGTGCTAGAAAGCATATCTGGATTAAATAAGAATTTAATTAATAATGTTTTGAAAAGAATTGGGAAGCACTTTCTCAAATTATGAATCTGAGCTGGTAGAAAAACGATTAGCATTTCTTTCAAAATTTAAAGAAACTGTCGAATTTCTTGTACAAAAAGGGCCTACTTTAAACTTGGCGTTACTTTTTAGAAGTGAAATTGAAACAAATTTAATAGGTGATAGTTCTGAAATCATTTCTCTTAAGGAAAATATGCTAAAAAACTTGCGTTACGATTTTCGGTGTGTAATCTGCAAGTAATAATTAAGTATATTCTTTTATTTTTTATTTAAAATTAAGGTATTGGTTTCTCTTTTAGATCCAAGATTTCAAAAGTTGACAATTGTGTCAAAGTATTTAATAGAGCAAGATAGTTCAGCTTCAGAATATGTAATAAAACATCTTAAACTTTTAGAGAATTATGATAATCAGGTAGTAAATATAACTAATGAGGATCAAGATGGATTATTAAATTTAAGTTATTTGACAAACTTGGCAAATAAACATTCAACAAATATAAATTATGATTCCAAGTTAGGTGACTTAGAACAAGAATGCCACAGTTTTCTTGGAAAACGATATTCACAAGATATGGACGTTCTAAATTTTTGGAGAGAAAAGAAGAGTAAACTTCCCAATCTTTCCAGGCTTGCCAAAAAATTATTTGCATTCGGGTGACTAGCACACCTAGTGAAAGAGTTTTCTCTACCGCTGGATTGACGTTAAATTCAAGGGGATCATTATTATCCCGAAAATTTAAATAAAATAATTTTTATACATGATAATTATAAAATTACGAAATCGATTTTGGATTTATAATGAGTTTTCTATTAAATACAGGGTTGTGCATTTGACCGGTCAAACACGTTTCGGTCAATTGACCATATTTGACCGGTCAAATACGGTCAAATTCAAATATATGTTTTTTTAAGTTAATATTAACTTTATTTTGAATATAATAGTAAAATGAATCTATAATATTAATTTTTTAAATTCACGTGTAGCTATCTGTATCAGAGTCTTGTTCTGATTCATATTCAATATTATCATTTTACTTAATATTTTTTAATCAATTTTCCTGATGTCTTAGATCTTCAATCGATTTCTATTTTCATAAAAATATTAACCCAAATCGACCTATTTCTTTCTAAAGAAAAAGTAGAACTAGGAATTGTTAGTCTCTTAATGGGCAGGGTGGACAAAGTTCAATCTATTAACTTGAGGTCGGAATTGATTGTTTCTGGATATTACTACTTTCCATATAGATTGCTATATTAAACATGCTGTTTTATTCTTTTGAAATTAATTATATAACTTAAAATATTTTGGTCATCACTATCTTGTAAAATAGCTCATTCTTGAATTATATCACATACTTCATTAATTTCACTACTAGTGAGTTCTCCTCTTGATATTGTGAACATAAAAAATAAGCAAACATTGTGATCACATGTATTTACATCGTTTTTCCCTTTTATAAACATATTTTTAATTTATTTTTCCTTTAAATTTTTTAGAGTATTTGACCGTATTTGACAGGTCAAATACTCCTCCGATCAATTGACCGGTCAATTGACTGAATTTTACAGATCAATTGACCGACTTGCCAACCAACATTAAATAAATATTATAAAATATGCTGAGATATCTGTAGAAAATGTATATTCGTTTTTTTTTAAATAATAAGCAATTAAAATAAAAATTTATAACTGCGCGCGCCGAGTGTGCGGCTACGGCTGCTCGATTTTGAATTGCGATAGGTCGGCGGCTATGCTCACTAAGCAGAAAATTTTTTCTTGTGGTCAGTTCTTTTAACAAATATTCGAATATTTTAAATTTATTATTCAATCATTATCCTATTCCTTACTTTATATATCAAGAATATTATTCAAATACAGCTAAAATATTTGAATAATAATTTTTAAATCTTAATATAACCATATAAATATAAAATCATGTCGATTTATCATGGTTCACTATGTGGTACTAGTGCCACCCTTGACTGTTATAGACCCTGCCTACCCTTTGAATCAACTACTGATTTGCATTTGATACAAACATATGGCTGCACGATGACACACTAGACATAAACCAAATTATATATTAAATTACTAAAATGTTCCATGAAATTTCTTTGAAAAAAATGACTTGTTTGGAACTGGCCTAAGACCCACTTTTTTAAGCTCTTTGGTTAGCTAGCATTTTTTTAAAAAAATATGGTTTTAAACTCTTAAAAAAATAAAAATATCATAGTTATTAAAAATCATCAACTTATTCTTTTTATTTCAATTATTGTTTTTAACCATATATATTCATTTTTTTTAAGGGAGAGTGGGTGGAAAAGTGTAAAGATATTCTAATTACCTAAGAGGAAAAACTTTAGCCATGTATAATACAACACATTGCATTACCTAAATATTTGTTTCATTATAATTTAGAATTCTTACATATACACATTAAGGATCATAATAGTTTTATTCATTTTTTCCTTTCCATAAATTTATATATAATATTCGTGGATATTTTTTAAACATTTTATTAAAAATTATAATTTTAATCTATCATCTATCTCTTAGATAGTTTTTTTTAGAAAGAATTTTGTATTTTTTTAAAAAAACTTTCAAATATAATTTGAGTACCTTATTCCCAACCCGGAATAATGGTATTTATAAATTTTACTAGCTAAGCTAATTATTAAAAATACTTGATTTCATAAAACACTGCAATTATTTACAAGCTAGGCAATTAATCAATAATAATAAAAAATTAAATCATTTAAATTTAAAATTACCTCAATCAAGGATGTAAAATATTTTATGCTCAGAACATCATTCAAATTCAGCAAAATTAATGCATGAGCTATATATAAAAAAAAATAACATATGATTAATAAAAATTAAAATACTAAATAGATTTTGAATCTTGATGTTTTCAATAGCAAATGGTACCATATATTTTTGAGATAATAGTTTGGTATGTTGCTTAAAAATATAAAATTTCCTTTTAAATAAAAATGTAGATACCTCAAAAGGAAAGGAATCACTTGATGATAATTTTGAGAAGGTAATAAGATCATAGCAAAATATTTTAATATCTTTATCAGTTGTATTTTCTATAGATCAGTAAAGTTTTGATTATGGTATAATAATATTTACTACAAAAATTAGAATTTAATACTTCATTAAAATTAAGAGAAAATGGATTTAATGAAAACCATAATGTCATATAAGATAAATTTTTATTAAACAGATACAAATTAATATATTTGTATATATTTATATTCACTTTTAAAAATACAATTAGAAATATATTTGATATAAAAATAAGCAAAAATATATTTTTCATAATTACACATATTACTTTTAAATATCGCTCTAAATTATATATATAGTTTTAAAAATATTTACTAACCTATATTCAATCGAGCGTGGTTATGGATAAATATTTAAACATATGGCATAAATCTAAAAAAATAATATTCATTATTACTTATAAAAAAATATATATTTAAGGAGAATTAATATTAATAAACATTAAAATATCTTAGGTCATTTTATCAATTCTTAATAAAATATTTTTCAGAAAAAATTGAATAAAATGGGTTTTCTATATTAATAAATTTTTCTAAATTTTTTTAAAAATGTCATTTATATTTTTAGTTTTATAATAGTTTTATTTTTACTATAGTTTCACCTAAACATTAACACTAAATATGTATTTTTCGTAATTAATACTACCTACAAATGTCTCAAAAACAGATTATATTATAAATATAGATAGCGTTATAAATTTTTATATTAATTATTATATATAAAGTGTATTAAAGGCAATGATATTTCAGCAAAATTTTGAGCAACATTCTATTAAGATCACGGTCTTCGAAGATCATGAAATTTTAAGAATTTTTAAAAATTCTTTTCTATACGAATTGAATATAAATTAAATAATTTTTGGTAATTTATTGAATTAAGTACATATTATATAATTATATACCAATCATAAACTATAATATAATAAAAATACTTTAAAAAAAAGGAATTGTGACTTCAGGTTCATAAAATACACAAATAATATTTTAAGATAATAATTTAAATTTTATGTTTTAAAAAATAAAATTTCTTGCGTTCTAATGTAATGGTTCTTATTTGCCTATATCTTTTTTAAAAATAAAATTCTTTGCGTTCTGATGTGACAGTTCTTATTTTAATGCTTATATTTTTTAATAAAATTTTAATCTGTTTAACATATGTCCAAAAGCAAGTGATAACGATTGATAAAAAAAGATATAATATTAGAATATCTTTTTTTTCTCGGCTATATCAGCAGGATTCGAATTTATATATTTTGGAATTGAAGAGACACTGTTGAAGTCACAAATTGAAAATTTGCTTAAGGACCAAGTACAGATGTTAAACCATTTGGCCATAGAGCATCATCTTATGATATATTAGCAGACTCCAAGATGTTTGATATTCAGGTTCCCTTAAGAGAATGGCCAATAACTGATATCATCTTTGCATGCCTTGCATATCAGCCTTGACTATATACACAATTAAGCCCTTGTAAATTTAATCATTTTTTATTGTTTTATTTTTAAATTTTATTAATCAAAATTATGTTAAATGAAACGTTATATGTTAAATAAAACGTAATATATTATGGGCACTGATGCACAAGGTTCAACAAAAGTGACCTTTATAGATACCCTTTTGGTCTAGTCAGACTTAATATAATATACTGGTCAACATATGTCCAAGACAAATGTCTTTCAGACTTATAACAAACATTAGCTTAATTTCATTGATTTTAATAAATATTTGTGAGTTAGTAAATCGTAAAATTATTTAATACATATTTTTTTCGAGCAGGGTTTTATTTATTTATCAAACCAATAAGAATTTCGGACAAATTACCTGGACAAAAAGATATCTGAAAATTAAGAACAAAAACACTCCAGTTTAATTTTTTTTTATAAATGCTTAGAAGGGGAATTTTTTTAAAAAAAAAATTGTTTAAATCTGCGCATCATCATTAGCCGAAATTTTAATAAAGATTGACTCTTACACCATTTACAAGCTGTGCCGTTTAATAGTTATAAAAACTTATATTATCTCTTAATATAATGTTCTTATCCTTTATTTATCACTTTAAATATATACACGAGAAAGTTTCCAAGTTTATTTCGAACATAAAAAATGAAAATAAATAATTATTTAACGTAGGATTTTAAAATTTTTATACAATATAATTAATGAATTGGATGGTAAATAAAAATAATTAAAAATAATACTTACACATAAATTCTCCAACTTAATAAAAAATAGGACTTATCATGAGTTTCACAAAATTTAAACTCAGGCGCAATTGTTGTTATCATCCCAAAATTATTGCGCGTGAACAAAATATTAAAAAAAAATACACCAATCATAACCACACCTATGCGTGTTAGGGATAAATATTTTTTCTGATTTCCCCTTTTCCTGTACATTAAATTCATTAATGGATATTTTTGTCCAGGGGTATTTTTTGTCAGGTCATTTATGACCGATTACCGACTAGAATAGAAAATAAAAAGAAAATTATTGATATAAGGTTTTATTTAATCTGATTTGAGAAGATATTTAAGAATTTAAAATCTAAGTAAAATTTTCTAAAAAAAAATAATAATTAGATTTACTTGTGGGGTAGAGATGATTCCCATATAACTTAGCAATTTATCTTATAGCCTATTAACCATTTCGGATTATGTTAGATCCAATAGTTTAATCACTAATCACGAAAATAAACAAACGCATAATGAATGATAAGATAAAATACGTTGCATATTAAACAAGATGCTAGATTTATTAAGGGAAAACGTTTCTTTAAAGATAGATATATAACACTATTTCTAAATCGGTGTTAGGAACAAATGAAATGCCTATATAAGATTGAAATACGTACTTTGCTGAGGTTAAAAACTAAAAAAAAAAGATGCACACGGTAGCCGAATTTATAAATTGAAATCGAAAATTTATCAAAAAGTTTATAACATCTGTTTTAACCAAATATACAGAATTCCCGATGACAACGGCGCTACATTGATTAAAAACTGTTAAAATGATAGCGTAGGAACAGGTTAATATTCAACTAGATCTTCCTGGAGGAAGGTGGCTTTTTCGAATATTTGTCCGTAATAAATGTAGCGAGTCTTTTCAAATAAATAATATGTCTTATATAAAGAATACTCGAGTCCCCAAGCTTATTTTCATACATATTTTTAATCGATACAAATGGCACACTAAAAATTATTTAATTATATTTTTTTTCAAAAAAATATATAATTTATGCAATTTAACAACATGGTTTTAGGAATAAATAAATTTTGACTTTTTTTTTGTACAATTCGGCCAATTGACTGTCAATTTCAATTAAATAAATTTGTGGCAGTATTCACTTTTTAGGTACATGTAATAAAAAACCAGCAAATATGCAAAATATATTCATAAATGTATATTATTATATTTGATAATATTTTGATTAATTTTTAAATTGTCTCGTTTTCACACTTCAGCAGAGTCGTTTTATAGGGTCATTGGAATTATCATTTTCTCTTATGTTATAAATTAATCGTGAACTATGATGACTAATTTCCTTTAGTCAAAGTATAAATATTATCCCAGGCACTCGGAAAAATTTCATTCTAAAGAATAAGACTAACTTGGAAGGGTTAATATTGTTATAAAGCAAAAAATACTCTTTTTGAATTTTATAAATTTATGTTATAGATTCCTCAATGTGGTTTTCTTTATCTAGCGATAAAAAGCTCACTACCTTAGGGCTATAGGGAAAAGGGTAAAATAACGAATATACCGATTATTACTTTTCTATGGTTCATATTCTAGAAATCTTAAATAACATGTTTGCAATGTATGTTTTTACCCATCAGTTTTCGGAAAAATTTAAAAGTTGTAAAATAACTAAAAAGATACGAGGAATATTAAGTAAATTTTTCATGAGGGAAAAAGGATTTATGGTAGAAAGAGAAAATAAATCCGCCAACTCAAAAAGCGTCTCAAGAGTGGTATGAAGGAAGAAAAATTTGTTGTATTACCTCTAACTGGGGAGCTTAAATGATTTAGTCGTTCCTCTGGGGTGGTATATTCGAAGTTTGTGGATTAGGTTCAATTCACTTGAGAGGGTTGAATTTCCATTTCTCAGTGTTTATACAGAATTCAATAATAACAGTCCCAGCATCCATGATTAAATTCACAGCCTTATTGACTTCGCCATTAGATCTACCAAGGAACACCAAGCATGTTAAAATGTTGAACATTAATTTGGTTTCTAACAAATCGAATTAAAAAAGATCTTTTTATTCGTAATGTATAATAGTTTTAAAAAAATGTATTTTGAAACGGCGTTTAAATTATTGGAAATATAAAATTACATTATTTATCTTAATTTGAAATAAGATTATATTAGAAATCAAAGATTTTATCCATCTTTTAATGGGATTTATAGATATATTTAACATATTAATGCATTCATGTTTAATGTCATTAAATTTGTACACCTTTCTTTCAATATCTAATGAAAAATACTTTCAAAATTATCAGCAATTATAAAAGCAACTAAATTTAAAGGGGCTCTACTTAACTTTAAGATAAAGTATTAACGGCAAAAAACATATATACTTTTATAAGATTTTTTAAATTCAACTATTATACATATCTGAAATTTTTCAGGTTTCTTACTTTAATCATTCGGTTGAATTCATTATTAGCACCTCATAGTTATATGCGAACGGTAAAATATTAGCTATTTTATCTGGCCTGAATGGGGTACCTTAAAACTAGACTAAAGATCCAGGTACAAAAGCATTTGGTTCCTCCTCCATTCTCGTTTTGGTAAAAAATTTTTAAAGTTCAGCTAGAATATTTCGTATATTTACATAATTTTTATTCATTAATCCTTCTAGATTTATTAAATCTAAATAGTAATTAATTGTTCTCTAAAAGGTTAACATCTATAATTTTGTCGTGATATTATTATAAATTTGAATGTAAAAATAAAAAAAAATACACTTCTCAAGTAGAGATCCGTGCAACTGGGCTAGGTCCAAAATC